TGAGCTCCAGGAAAGGCGCAAAGCTATACAGAGAAACCCTATCTCGAAACCCCCCCCCCAAAAAAAAAAAACACTCTGGCCAGAGGCAACTTGGGGATGAAAGGGTTTTTCTCACCTTACAACTCCCAGGTCACATAGTCCTTCACTGACAGATGTCACGGCAGGAACTCAGGCAGGAACCTGGAGGCAGGAACTGGAGAAGAGACCAGGGAGGCATGTTGCTTACTGGCTTCCTTCCCTTGGCTGCTTATACAGCTGACTTCTTATTCAGCTCTGAACCACCTGTGCAGGGGTACTGTCCCCACTGAGGCTGGCCCTCTGTCAACAATAATTATTTAAGAAAATACCTTATGGCTGGAGAGATGGCTCAGAGGTTAAGAGCACTGGCTGTTCTTCCAGAGGCCCTGAGTTCAATTCCCAGCAACCACATGGTGGCTCACAGCCATCTGTAATGAGATCTGGTGATCTCTTCTGGCTTGCAGGCATACATGCAGGCAGAATAGTATATACATAATAAATAAATAAATAAATAAATAAATAAATAAATAAATAAATAAATAAATAAATAAATAAATAAATAAATGAAATACAAAAGAAAGAAAATACCTTACAGACTGCCTATGGACAACCTGATGGTATTATTTTCTAAACTGGGGTTCCTCTTCCCACTTAACTCTAGGTTGTTTCAAGCTGACAGAAACCAACCAGGTAAAAATATCTCCTCTAAGTAATATCTTCTTTTAAATAATATTTGGTAGTTTTCAGTCCAGACTTTACCTGACTTTCATTAAATTTGTTGATAAGTGCTTATGAGTTTTGGTAGCCCTATAATGCTTTTTTTTTAAAAAAAAATTTCATAATCATAACTAGTATAAGCTTTTGTCTTTAGCTACTTGTTACATTCTTAGGAATGTTTTGCTTGTCTATATCTGTGTTCTTTACATTTTTTAATTGTGCAAGTTGTGTGTCTGTGTGTGTGTGTGTTTGCAAATGTGTGCATGGGCACATGACCATGCCACAGCATGTATATGGAGGTGAAGGGACAACCTCAGGAATGACGTTCTTCCTCTCCACCATGCAGATCTTAGGGATTGAAATTAGGTTGGCAGGCTTGGGACAAGTGCTTTTTTCACAGAGCCACATCCCTGTGCCATACACCCCTCTTGTGTAGGAGAGGGTCTCATATAGTTTTGGCTGGCTTTGAACTCATTGTGTCTTTGACTCTGACCTTGAACTGCCTGAGCCTCTTGCTGCCATGTCCTGAGTGCCAGACTGCAGGCATGCTTCAATATCTAGTCCCTCAGAAAATAAAAATATTTTTGACTTTGATCATAAATATCATCCCACAGATTCCAAAAAAAAAAAAAATGTCACTTGTCTCATGTGAAATAGAGACAAAGAAGGGCTGGCATGTTACTTGGTCAGTAGAGTGCTTCCCTCTATACACGGGGCTCTGGTTCAATTCCCGGCACTGCAGGATTGAGCATGATAATACAAGTGTGCATTCTGAGCACTCAGGAGGCTAAGAGGGTCAGGACTTCTGTAGTCAATAATATTTCAGTGTGTGTGTGTGTGTGTGTGTGTGTGTGTGTGTGTGTGTGTGTGTGTGTATTAT